AGTCAGTCCCTATGCTCCAGATTACTACTGTACGTGGGCATAATGCTCATTCCTGTTGCCCAGGATTGCTCTGGGGATGAAATGAGTCCCTTGTGGAAAGTGTCTAGAATGTTGCCTGGCAGGTAGTGGTGAGTACTTATAAGGTTATTGTGAGGCTTCTTGAGAAGGAGTATGGGGGTGATGGTGGGGCTGAGGAGCCAAACCACCTGAATTTCAGTTCTGGGCTACCATTTCCATTTCTGTGTATTGATTCTTATTTCTCATCTGGAAAATGAGAATCATAACAGCTATAGAGAAGATTTGTGATAGCGTTAACAAGTATCATCCACAGACCTAGAGCAAAAGAAATCCAGTGGGACCTTTAGGAATGGGAGCCACATAGGATCTCTGCAAGTGACAGGCAGGTTGGTGAGAGTGTGGAAGCTGCAGTGCAGGACTTCTGCTTGCCCCAATTAAGGGCATTTAATCTGACAGCAAGATGACTGAGCAAGTGCTAACGGCCTTCATTTATGTCAAGGGTTACAGCATTGTTCTGTGTCATTGAATCCAGTTGAAAGCCTTGTGGGTCACCCCGGCAGGTCTGGGGCAGCCTGCTGGTTGCTCGCCTCATCACTTTTCCCAGCTTCTGTTTCCTCAGCAAGGTGGGGTGTGTAGGGTTTGGATTAGGTCATATCTCAGGTATCTTCTCTCTCTCATGTTCATGATCCTATCCTATAAGCCATAAATCTCTAGCAAATTTCCATTTCTACAGTAAGTCTGGAATCCAAGGTGTTTTTGATGAACAGAGACTCAAGCAAAACCAGTAAAATCATGAAATGACACTGAACCCTCTATTTCCTCATCCATTAAGCTGAAATAAGAGTCCAACTGATTTCCCAGGGCTTTTGTGAGAGAGACATGAGGTCATATGTGTGTGTGAAAGCACCTTGTCAGATGTGATGGTGATTGTTGCTGCAGCTGGATTAGCACTTTTCCAGGAATTAGAACATAAGAAAATACTGGTAAACCCTGAAGTCTATTTAAGGTAATATGATCTGTTCTATGATTCAGAAGATCCTGCAGGAAGTTACAAAATCACAGCATCCTTATCTTGAGCTTCTATAGAAAAAGGGTGCTGGCAACATGTCCTCTTTGGCTTTCAGAATTCAAGTGAAACAGGGGCCCCTTAGCCATATCAGCCCAGAAGGGGCCAGAGAGCACATGCATGGAGGCCCTTGTTCCCATGGAGTTTTGTTATGGAGTACAGAAAAACTGAGGGCCTGTGCAGACTCACATGTTAATTGATCGCAGATCTGAGCGTAAACCCAGGTTCCCACTCCCAGCATGCTTTGTAAATGTGAGTTTGAGCACGTGAGAATCAGGACATAAGGATGAAGGTGACTTGCCTTTGAACATGCACTGGAAGAGCTACTGAAAGGGAGTTTAATAGTATATGTGTGGCTAACGGATATGGCACCATGAACTTGACTTGACCCCGGCGGGGGGGGGGGGGGGGGCGGGATGTGGTGGAATTCTTAGTAATTTTCTTAAGCATAGCAATTTCGTTCTTTAGGAAATTCCATTCAAATGTGCTAAATTAATTGGCACTAAAAGTATGGTCTTACATGGGGTGCATTGCATATCTGCAGAAGAAAGGTCTTGTTTTTCTCCCTAATGACCGCTACCACCTATGTTCTTCAACTTTGTGGGGTAAAGCTGCAAGAGAGAAGTAGAACAGGTTTTGTGTTCCTCCCTCCTCCTTGCCCTTGCAGTTTCTGCTCCATTAGCAGCTGTGAGCTGTGCTGCCCCAAGACCAGCTCCCCAGAGCCAGCAAGCAGAAAAGGTAGCACTGCTTCCTGGCGGCGTGAAAAGCAGGGACCCACCTTCACCTCCACCTCTTACCCCTTCCCTCTATAAAGCTACTTCTCCAGGGATCTACAGTTTTTTTTTGCTCTGTGGATACCTTGAGAAAGCCTCCAAGGCTTAAGTCGTAGAGGGGAAGGATTCCATCTAAAGCTCAGTCTTTGCTGAATGGCTCACAAACACTGCGCATAATCAGAACTCAGAATCCAGGCAGTTCTAACTATTGCGTGCCAGCACGAGTCTGAAACAAGACTACCTGGGTGAGGGTCCCTCGGCCCTGGGACCTTCGGCAGAGTGCTCCCAAGGGCCTGCATAGTCGGGTTAGTGCAAGCTGCTAGGGGAGCTTAGAAAGCCCAAAAATAAGATACAGGATCCTGCTGGGACCAGAGTTGCCTCTGGCCTAAGACTCCATCCTGTTTAGATGCTCTAACACATCAGGCCTTGAGCCCCAGGAGAACGGGCTCCTTTTTCTGGATTAGAATTGAAAGGCACAGTCTCCTCACCATCTTTTTGTTCTATATAGCGGAACTAGCAGTGGTACTTGACCAGTTTATTGCGCATCTGTCTAACTGGGTCGTTGCTGCCCACCCACTTGATGCTGATGAAGAGCAGCAAGACTGAGAAGTTTTATTGGGTGGCCTGGAGCAGGTAGCTTGCTCTGGCCAGGTCACTTTTGCACACGGCCAGGATGGCATGGTCTCAGCTGGCCCCTTGCTGGGTCACTTGTGCACACAAGCCCAGAGCCTTGTCTTGGGGTCCCGGGAGGGGGTTTCCGCCTGGTGACCCCGCTTGCCCCAAGGGCTGGGCTGTGGGAGAGATTAATGGGAAGTGAAAAGAGAAACTTGTTTGTAACCGGCAGGGCTGTTTGGAGTGTGTGACTCTTCTTGTATTTAGGGAAAAGATTACTCATGAGTATTTTCTTCCATAGAATATAAAGAACCTCAAATTACTACTTGCATCCCCACCCCCTTCTCACCCGCCTCCTGCTGTTTCAGTGAATCTTCTGCAGAAACTTCAGCATTTTACTCTCATTTCCCCTCCTGAAGGGATTCGGTTCTGTATTTGCACTTCCAATAAGCCACCCCATACTTTTTCCTGTTTCTAACTGAACATCTTCTGAGGGTGGTCTTCTTAACCGTCCCCATCCCCACCCCCAAAACCTCCCTTCAGGCCAAGCTTGACTGAAACCTCACTCTTCCCTTAGGACTGGCTAGACCTGTACTCCTGTGTGAGGGAGAGAAAGGGAAAAGACCAGAATAACAAATCACCAAGCTGTCCCTGCTCAAAGGTGACATGGTTGAAGTTACTAGGGAGTAAACTTAAAGGGCTTTCACCAGTTCCCAAGTTGAGATTTTGCTACACCCACTCTCTCACCTGCAACTCCAGATACATGTTTTCAAGGTCATTGGAGAGGGGGGGCATTTAATAGGCACTGCTTCCTGGCCCAGCCAGGGATCCAAAACACAACCTTGACATTGTTTAGTGGCCGTGTTCTATTGTGAAGATAGTAGAGCTGATTATTATTCCTGAATGTTACTTCTTTTTCATGGACCATGAAACTTGAAAACCAAGAAACACTCTTTATTCCAGTCGCATGACTCCTTATTAGTGCCCGCCATGGTGGATCTATTTCAAGGGGCTTCCACAACATTCGAGGAAGTCAGATACTATTTTTCCAAGTTACACTTTGCAAAGCTGTTCCCAGGTAGACAGAACCAGAGCCCTGGGCCTGTCTCCTAGACCCACGCCTCTCTGTTCCCCCACTAGGAAGAGCAGCCCATCATTATCATGCCTGATTTAAGGACAGGATCAAACTGAAGGACACTTCTATATCACACTTATGGAGGTGCCTTAGCAAATTTAAGTAATAAATAGAGTGGTGAAGCTCCTCTTAGCAAACACTGATTCCATTGCATTCAAACAGTTCATTAATTCACAAAATGTGACTTTAAAGAACGATGCCCTGTTGAGCATCTAGGCTCAGCTAACCATTGCTTCTCAAACATTTTGGCCTCAGGACTCCTTCTGATTCTTAAAATTACCGAAGACCCCAGAGAGTTTTGCCCACAAGGGTTATATCTATGTCTACTGGGTTAGAAATTAAAATTGTGAATTTGAAAAATAACAAGCCAAGTACATGTTTGCATAATTATATACTTCTGAATATATTTCCCCAAACACATTTGATGACAAGAGTGGCATTATTTTGTATTTTTGCGTTCCTTTTTAATGTCTGCCTTCATAGAGGGATGAGTGCCCCTGTCTGCAGTATCATAGGTCATGTAGTCTCCAGGGAATCCCACTGTGTACTTGTGATAGAACAAGAATGGAAAAAAGGCAAATACCCTCTTAATATCATTATGAGCCATGTTTTGACATCAATGATCCCCTGACTGTTCCCTACATTACACCTAGAGAATGACTGTTCTACTATCTTGAGTGAGACAGCAAAGAGTCCCCAGGTTGGGGGCACGGTGGGAAAGACAAGCCTCAGTGAGGCTTCCAGAGATCCAGCCTGAGCCACTTGGTCCTGCCGAGGCCTCCTTTGACCCATCTCTGGTCCTGCTGGAGTCAAGCTCCACCACACCTGGAAATGCTGACATCCCTTTTATCCTTACCTTGCCCTCTAGTTCCCAGAGGCTAGCCTAATAGTTTCCCAGAGACTGAGTGAATTGTTCTTCCTGGAAGAAGTTTCAGGGAACATTTCATTATTTGGCAGCTCTGGAAGGTCAAACCCAGTTCTGGAACAGTCTCACTTCAAAGGACATAGGCCTGCAGTCAGATCAGCTCTGACTCAGGTCCCAGGGGGAAAGCCTGGCTTTCCTTGACTTCAAGCCCCCTTGGGTGCTGCAGGCCACACAAGAGCTGCCCCTTTCCTGATAGACCATAGAGCTGGGCGAGGCAGGACAGGACTCCAAACCTCAAGGGCATCAAGAGGGCTGTTTCTCCCTTTTCTCACTTTGCCTCTAAGTAGCAAGTTCATCTGTCACACACTTGAATGCTTAGGAAACTGAAGCTTTAACCTGGGATTCCAAGTTGAACAGAAGGGCTCTTCAGACATGGGGACTCAATTTTGTTAACCATTCAGAAATCTTTTCCCTTTCTTCCAACTGTCTAACTGACAACACCTTTTCTCTCTGCCCCGCTCTTGCCAACAGGCTTGCAGCCAATGTATTGGAGCAGGGATGACGTAGCCCAGTGGCTCAAGTGGGCTGAAAATGAGTTTTCTTTAAGGCCAATTGACAGCAACACGTTTGAAATGAATGGCAAAGCTCTCCTGCTGCTGACCAAAGAGGACTTTCGCTATAGATCTCCTCATTCAGGTGAGAATCTGGCCTCTTGACACGTGCTTGACGCAGAAAGCCTGGGCACCAGTGGGTGGGCTTCGCCTCCACTCCTTGTGCCCAGGACAGCCCCATAGCAGGTCCTGGGAGCTCAGAGGCATTTGAAGGTCCTGCTGACCTAAGCCTGCTGGAGGAGAAAGAGGACGTGTTTCTGATTCAAGGGGTATGAGGTTGGAGGTGGCCAACTGGGACTCCATTCACTGGACCCGAAGGGATCCAGGTGTGCCACTAAATGAAGGAGGAACATGCTCTCGTCTCTCCCATGCTCCTGAGCCAGAGCCTCATCATAGAGCTGCCTGGGATTGAGTTGAGTGTCAGTTGTGGGTCCTGGATTATAAGCAAAGACAGGAGAAGTAGGGGGCTTAGCACTGCCATGGGGTGGGTAGGCAGGAGTGCAGCGGTGAGGGAATAGGAGGGAAAGGCTGGAGAATGCGGAGAGCCTAGCTTCTGAGGCAAGTTAGTAGTCACGGGCCTTCAGGTGATTGCCTTTGGAAGTTCTAAATTGCGGGGAGGGGGTGTTTCTTGTAACCCGTAGCTATCCTGAAAAAGGCCCATGGGAGCTTCCTCAGGCCCATCCAGCTGGGAAGATTTGTCAGAGGGCCCATGCAAGCATGTGGGGAGAGTTGATTCTCCACAGAGGGTTGTGTCTGCGCAGTGCATGGTTGACAGAGATAGAGGCTGCACATAGACCTTCCAACTTCACTTCTTAAACCAGATGGGTATTTAGAAGAAAGCTCTGGAGGCCTCTGTGTCAAGGGGAAAGTATGGCCTTAAGTTTCATACCTTCCAGCCTGCCCTCTTGTCTGGTCTCATCACAAGGCAGGCACTTGGATGTGACTGGCCTGGCAAAAACCCTTTTTTCCTTGACAAAGGGCAGAGTTCCTGCATGTGATCTTGGCGCAGCCCCTGTTCAACTCTTATTTACAGCTGGAGTCCTTCCAGAAACTCATAAACTAACCGTCAGGAGGAAAGGCTCCCTGTCACAGGGGGAGAGATAAGGATACAAAGCACTGTTCCTGGCTTCTCCCAATTGCAGGGGAACCTTTCTATGAGGAAACACTTAAGGGGAAATCACATCCAGAAGGACAGATGTTGTTGAAACTTGAAAGCTAATATCTCTGAGAACCAGATTATTCATGCCAGGTTACTTTAGAAAGGGCACAACACACCTAACACATTTTATCTCGAGCCATCGATTCTTTCTGTAGTCTCAGAGTAAGAGACCTCTCAGAGTGAGAGAAAGGTAAAACAACCATCCAAATAAATAAACGAACCTCAAAGGAACCTAAGTAGTTCCTTTCAATTTCATGAGAAAAAGCACTTCCCTTTCTGGTTCCAGGGGCAACTCAAGACCTTATATTCAATGAGGCAAAGATACCTAGTGGAGGGGGAAACCCTAAGGCACCCCTGTGCTTTGCTGAGATTTCACAGAGGCCTCAGACAAGCTTTCCTCTCAGTCTTTGCCACACTCCCACCCGCGTACATTTTCAGGTGCTCCTTTGGATTTGCTGGCTTATTTTTCATTCTAGTGATCTCTCAACCACCTGAGGAAAGTAGATTTTTCTCTGCTCAAAGCTGAAGGAAAGATATGCAAAGGGTTTGCCTCTTTGTCAAGTCTTGACCAGACAGGGCAAGCTGCCTGGCTGGAGAGGTAGGAATGTACTAAACCCAAAGGTGGAAGGAAGTAAGCTGGGCCGAGGGGCAGCGCACAGGAGGGGAAATGGACTTGGTCTGGGGTACAAAGGGTGGGTAGAGTTGAGAGGTGAAGGGGAGAAGGTGAACATTCCAGGCAAGTAGAACAGCTTCAGTCTAGTGCAGTCAGGGGACAGCGAGGAAGCTCACCTGACCAGTGGTGGGGGCAGGAAGGTGTGCCAGGCCAGACGGCCAGACACAGACACCACATACTGTAGCCCCTCATTACATGGCGATCTGGAAACTCCTTCCATGAGAGTTCACTGAGCAGAGGTCCACAGGGAGCGCAGGATATTTCTAAGTAGCTTGTCAGACTTGGCTCAAGGGTGCAGGGGTGGAGCTGGACTTCCAAAGCTTTGAAAGGTAAACAGGAGCAAGGGAAGGGAAGGCGTTGGCGAAACAGCTGGCCAGTTGGTGTGGACTTCAGAGTCAAGGCCGCACACGCTGGACCCTCCCTGTGAAATGCTGCCCCCAGTCACTCAGGACACCTCCCTCACTCTAATTGCCTTTCATATTTCAAGTTCTGTCACTTTCTCCAGGGAAGTTCTCACTGATTTTCATTCCTGCTTCCCTAATTCCACCCCACCCCACTTCCTCCACCTCTGTCTACCTCAGTCTGATAGATGCTTTTCCTTTTTTGTTGTTTTTTTTACATTTTTGTTTGTTACTGTATATCCAATTTATTTAAAATTGAAATATAAATACAGTTACATTTATTTTTATATCTTTTTTCTATTGTATTTCTTACTTCAGTGAAATGATGGCTGATTTTTCCCCCCCACCAGCATCCCTGTATCCTCTCATCCCTTTCTCCCTCACTTCCTCCTTAACTTCAGCCCTCACTATCGTGATTAATGCCACTAAGTTTTGTAAGTTGTCATGCCATGTGGTCACCTCCAGGGCTGGGGATCGAACTCATGCTGAAGTGGCTTTAGCTTCTTAATGCTGTGCTTTTAACCTGCAGTGCCACCAGGGAGGGCCACTTTGTAAATATTTTACTTTATCAAATCATCCATGATATAAATGTCTGGCATTTGTTTTTGTCATTCAAAGTTGCTTTGCTACACCTAGTTCCCTTGAACTCCCTCCATTTTGCAGTAAATAGCTGCATTTCATCTTTTTGTATGCCGGAATAGTGTTCTGTGGATAGACCATATCTTGACCCATTGTTCCACTGAGGAACATTTAGGCTGCCTTAATGTTTATCCTCTTTTATCCCAGAACATTTCCTTATTTTGAGTGTGTGTGTGTGTGTGTGTGTGCGCACACACACACACACTCACTCACTTACTCCACTGTGTGTGATGGTTTTCCTGTGTTTCTCTTTTGCATCCCTTACCTGGAGAAGAAAGTTCTCTTTGGGCAGAACTTGTCTCCTGTTAGGCTGCCATGTCCCCAGCATCTAACATAGCGTATGGCATCCATCTGGCACTGAGTCAACATTGGTTGAATTCTGACCACGTCTGTTGTAAATTATCACCCAATTTCTTAAACTGGGATTATTTTCTCTAGGAAGTTAAACATCTTAAGCCCAGGTTTTAAAAGTTTGGATTTTAGGGCCCTCCCTGGTGGCACATCAGGTAAGGACACAGCACTGCAAGCTGGCCGCAACTGCTTCAATGTGAATTTGATCCCCAGCCCCAGAGGTGACCACAGGGTGGGCAGACCTCTCCTGACCCGCCCGCTGCTCCCCTCAGCAGTGTACTTCATCGATCTGCCTGTTCTGCTCTCCACTCTGTCTCTGGTGAATCTTCTCACCGCCCCTGCACCTCTGGCTTGTACCCCACTTCTGTGTGCATAAATAAATAAAAATCTTTAAAAAGAAAATCTAAATCCCTACTTGCTAAAAAAAAAAAAAAGTTTGGATTTTATTTGGCAGGTAATAGGAAAGCCACAGAAAGGCTTAGATCAGGAGAGTGGGAGGGTTGGAGCTCTCCCTTTGAACAAATAATTCCCATCGCTACATACAGGGGAATCACCGGCTGTCTCTAGGAAGGAAGCTGGTCCGAATGCTACTACTCCAGTCCTAACACAAGAATAATAGCTTTTCAGGCACAAAATGGTTCACTCACTGAGATGGAAAGCTGGCTAAGTAGTTGCCAGGTCATCGGAGCAGACATGCCTTCTTCTATAATAGGAAATCTGAGATAAGAGCCAGGACACTACAGATAGAAGCGTTGTCCTCATTACGCTGAGCTGGGATACAGATAGAGATGCTGTGAGTAAATGCAGGCACAACCAGAACCTGGAGACAGAATTTCACAGTGATACCTGCAAGCCTTACACACGACCTACCACAAAACAGAGGAGTATTGTCAGGAGGCTTGAAAGACAGGACTCAGCAGGAGTTAATAAGACCCTTCTCAGGGAGTGGCTGGCCTGCAGCCGGGCAGTGAGACAGTCTGTCTGCCTGCCTTCTCCTTAGCTAGAGACAAGGCATGGTCTAAAAAATCTCTGTTCTCTCTTGCATGTGACATTCGCCACTGCTGCTTCTGACACAAGCTTTTGTTACCATGTGGTGTGGTAGATCTTCTGGCTCTGCACGTGACTCTTCCACACGTCACATCATTTCCATTGCTGTTATTCTCACAAAATCTATAATGTACCATAGAATTAGATGCTCAGTTCCTTTCAACTCTTAGCAATTCCACACAGCATCAACCACTCAAACAGTGTTAACTTCTAATAGAGCAGCTTCCCAACCTGCAGGCAATGCATCATAGCTTTGCTCTCCTTCAGCCTCTGGGTCTTGGAAAGCGCAGAGGTCACCCAGTTTTTTCTCTCTCTTTCCTTGAGTCTTTTCTGCTGCCTATGAAAAATCAGCAACAGCTTCTTACTCATCACAGGGCAGTCAGAATAAAACCAAAGTGTGTGATTGCCCTGGATGTTTATCGCATTTTCTGGCATCATTTCCTGCCTGGTCTCACCTGTTCTCAATGGAAATAACATTCCTTGACACAACTCACCTCAAAGGTGGAGAGAACTGAACTCAGTGAATGATGATTACCTGAAATATTAATAAACCTTTGGTCCAAAGGCTGTAGTCTCTCTGGGCTCCATATTCTCCAACCAGTTTTAACATACTCAACTTGGCTTGTCCATTTCTACTTCAAGCATCCCTTTTCAACCACTAGAATGAATCAGGAAACATTTGAGATGTGCTTTAAATAACTGTATCACCTCCAAACAGAAAATTTCAAAGTTAATGATAAATGGGATATTATCTTCCAATTAGAGGTTGTAAGATGACAAATTTAAACTATTTACCAAGCAAAAGAGTAATGTAA